CTTAGCGCCCTTAATCCTAGCACTGCACCATGAACCAGTCCTAGCATCACACACTCTAGATCCAGCCATGATGGAGACCACTATGTAGCAGCTCTGAGCAGGATTTAATATTAACCAGTTGGCTTTCCATGTTTACCTGTGAGTCACTGGTCCCTACTGAGGTCTGTAATGGTGCGTGAAGCCATAAGGCCTCAAAGGACAGGACAAGGACACAGCTGAGGACTTTTGGCTCCAACCCCAATGAACTAAAAGGAGACTGTAGCTGCAGGCATCTCACTCCTGCAGTGAAGGCCTTCCTGGAGTTAACTTAGTTATCCTAAATTAATGTAAGTGTTACTAGGAGAATTCAGTAAAGGGTTTCCAAAGTCCTGCCCAGATTCCTGCCTTTTCTTCAGTATGCCCCTCCTTTATTTGAAAACCTAATAAATATGGGCAGCCCAGGGAAGTCTGGGTCTTAACCCAGAGAATCATAAATATTGTAAGAGAGTTGAACCCTCCTGGAGCCCTATAATCATTTCATTTGTCTCATTTGTGTAAGCCTTTGCCTCCCACTCATTTAGAAATTGTGGGCCTGATCAGCCTGCAATAACTAAGAGTTATTAACCCAATACAGCCGCCTCTGAAAATCCCCACCTATGACCACATGAGGCTTTGGAGGCCATCTACACACAAGCCGAAGCACACCCTTTAGTTGCATTTGTCTTTTTCTAGTGATTACAAATCATCACCCACAGCCCAGTGGAAATGACAGTGTGAGCCAGAGGAGTGTTTTAATCTTTCTGTGCACCAGACCCCTCACCTGACTTAGGGGATAACAATAACTGCCTACAGGGTTGGTGCAAAGGTGAAATGCGGAAGGAACAAGGGGGTGTTTAGAAAGTGCAAAACCTTGTACCCTGGCTCTCTGTGTTAGGTGAGGAGATCATGAGGACCCTGGGGGTCAAACCCAGGGCCTCCTGCGTGTCAGGCAAGCATCCTACCACTGAGCGACACCTCTTTCTGAGGCTTTAAAACATCTGCTCATCTAAAGAGCCATTAAGAGCCATCAAAGAATTTTCAAGCCACAGATCACCTCTGACACGTAAACACAGATGATCAGTGCTTTCAGGGTATTTGGGTTTTGGCAGAAGGGGAGAGAAGGCTAGTGAAACAGGAAATAGCAGGCAGTCATGAATGAAGTATCAACCTGGACACCCTTGCATCTGTTGATTTCAAGATGACACACAGGCCACTTGTCAGACTTGTGCCCCCAAAGGCAAAGGGCCTGTGTCTAATTCATTTGAATAATCACAGAACTTAATATATTAGTTAGGGTTCTCTAGAGGATCCTGCCACTTCTCTATATGTATTTATGCAAGCAGTTTTATTAGGTAGGCTTATAGTATCCGAGGGGGGAGAGTCTGCCATGGCTGTATGGCTGTCTGTACACTGGAGCTGGAGGACTGTACAGCTGAGGGCTACAGCTCCTCCACGCGAGGAGATGAAAGCCACAGAACGAGAGAGATCAAGAATACAATACCAAGCCAGGCATGGTAGCATACACCTGTAATCTCAGCACTCAGGATGCTGAAGCAGAAGGTTTGCTGTGAGTTCAAGGCCAATCTGAACCACATAGTGGGACCTGTCTCAAAACATACACATGTGCATGTGCACATGCACAAACATAACACTAACCCAAGGTTGAAGGCCTGGAAGCTCCCTGAAGAGTCGCCAGTGTGAGACTGTATTGGAAGGCTAGCAAAGCTGGAGACTTTGAGACAGATGTCCAGAGGCAATGGCAGCAGAAAGTACACCTGCTCAAGGACATCAGAGGTTTTCAAAATGGGTGCGCTTCCTTATTCTTTCCTTTGTTATTCCATCCGGGCTACAAGCTGATGTGTTGATGCTGCCCACAACCCAAGTGCATCTTCCTCCTTCAGTCTTCCACTACCACAACCAGAACTGTGCTTTACTAATCTGGCAGGTGTTTCTTCATCCATTAAAACTGACACAATGATTAACAGTCGCATCCGACCAGTAAGTGTCCCGTCAGTCTCACTGGGTTAAATAAGTTGAATTCGCCTCCTTAGGATTCACTGGGAAGGGAAAGGACAGGAAGGCTAGAGGAAAGGTGTTAGGTCCCTCACATTGTACCCCTCCCAACTTGGAGAGAAAAACTCTGACTGACAACCTGTCTGTTCAAACAGGAAGCCCCTCGCTCAGCTCGAGAGACTAAAGTAAATCTGTCTATCAGGATAGTTCCCAGGCCTAATTCTCAGGCTTACAGGAAACCTCAAAAATCTACAGAATGCCAAGCTGCGCAGTAAATCAGCAACATGCCCATGTCCTCCTGCACTTCCTTCCCTCAGAGGCACCAGACCCACCAATCACCCCTGAGAAACTTAAATTTTCCACCTTTCTCAGTGGAATTTCCCCCTCCCATACCTAAAATAGTCTATAAAATAGGTCTCCTTCCTTTGTTCAGGGCCAACGGCTTTCTCGCCCTTGGCCCAGGTTGCACCCAACCTGAAATAAAGATAAGGCTGTTTGCTTCAGTCTTGCCTGTCCTGGTGGTGTCGATTGGTACTTGGGGTCTAGCCTGACAAAAGGGAGTCTCTCTTTTGATCTATCCTTGCTTCAGAATATTCTTTACTCTTACAGGGAATCCACCTTCCAGCCAGGTTCCTGCCAAGTAAATAGTGGACATGACACCCCCACCCCATCTTGACATGGCTGTCCCCAGCTGTCCTGCACTTCTATGGTTCACACCCCAGTGAGAAACAGGTTGGGAGCCCTGAGGGGTGGCGCTGCTGTTGCAAAGGGAAGGCTAAGAAACCTCCGGGTCCAGTTTGCCCAGCAATAGACAGTCACCGGGTCAGTGGTGCAGATGGGGAAGGTGTGATTACACCCAGCTGGAGAAAGGAGCTCCGAGCCTCTTAAGGGGGAGGCAGATTCCTGGTTGCCAGATCCCCCGAGTTCTGGCTCCTACTTGTCAACCATTCATTGTGAGGCTCAAAACTGACGTTTTACCCAGGATGTGTGGTATACATAATTTCCCTAGCTTGAACTTTCCAGTATTCTCCAGTAGTGGATTGATAACTGGTGGTCAACTTATAACCCCCAGCTGAACCAAGTAGGTGTGGTGCTGGGTGTGGGAGGCCCACCCGAGGACTTGCCAGCAGCATAAGAGGCAGACCTAGAGAAGAAGGAGGCTGTTGGGAGCTAAGAGGGGCTGTTGGAGCTGGTGGAACCTGTAAGGAGCTGTTGGTTGTTTTGGAGGAGCTCATCATGCTGGCTTTCCTGATGAACTTGGCTGTTTTCATCCTGGGAGGAGCTTGGGACCTTGCTGGCCCTGAGAATAGCTTCAGTTCACTTTGGGGGAGCTCTGGTCCTCACTTTGAGCATTGCTTCCTGGCTCCAGAGAGGAAGATGGTGCACTGCCGGTCTCCTAGAGAAGCTTGCTACTTTGGCTTCCCTGATGGGAAGTTGGCCATCTTGATCACTGGAGGAGCTCGGGACCTCACTGTTGCTGAGGGTGGCTGTGGTAACTTTTGGGGGAGCTCTGGTTCTTCTGAGCGTCACTTCCCAGCTCCAGTGCAGATCCCTCAGCCTGCTAGTACAGATCCTCCATCCTGTGGCACAGACTTCCTAGATTCCACCACTGACCTTTAGGCCTTTACAGCAGATCTGTGAAACATCTGTGCATGAGATATTGTTATGGGTTCTGAGCCTCCAGGTGGACTGGTGGGAGGCATTGTTATGAGCTCTAGGTCTTAAGCTGGACTCATGCAGGACATTTCCGTGAGATCCAGGCCCTCAGCTGGATTCCTTGGTCTTGGTATGTGGACAGATTTCCTGCACACTCTTGGGTATATCATTCTTTGGGTGACTATTATAAATAATCTTACAAAATATGTGTCCTGTATTGTATTGTTCCCCTTGCAAAAATAACCCCCAAACCAACACATCTCCTAAGTAATATTCCTTGGCTCCGGAACAGGTTGTAACAGCCCTGAGTGCATCACACCGCCCCCAGTATGGGCAAGTGGGGGTTGGAGGAGCAGGGGCCAGCGTCCTCTTTTAGCTTCTCTGCCTTGGGCCTTATGGCTGGAGCACACAGCCGCATGGTGGGTCCATGTTTAGGAGTTGAGGCTGGCACCAGGCCACAGGAGGCCTCTTCGTGCAACTGTGTCAATAAATCAAGCACTTAGTATTTTTTATTGGTGAATGAACAATTAGTCTGAAGTTTTAAAATGCAAACTTTAATTTAGTAGGGGGTCATTACCCAGGTGTTTATATCCTTGCTTCCCATTTACATAGCTGTTCCTCTCAGGGAAACCTATGCTCTCTGCCCGGCTTGCATGACTTCTGGGCAAACCTAGGATCAGAGTAGATCCCTGTTGCTGTCATAACACCCCATGTAAAAAAAAAAAAAAAAAAAAAAAAAACCGTGGAGGAAATTTTGGGGGAAAATCCTAGCTGATGCAACTAGCTTGCCATGCAAAAGATCTGAACAAATGAAAGTCTTCAAGGAAAGTATTTACAGCCTGGCAGGAGAGCCTGTGCCTGGACATTGAGAGGCTGAGACAGGAGGATCCCAAATTTGAGTTCCACCTGTGCAACTAAGCGATTTAGTGAGACTGTCTCAAAATAAACTATAAACATAAAGAGGGCTGGGGGTGTGGCTCAATGTGAAGGCTCTGGTTCAATCCCCATTATGGGAGTGGGGGGCATTCACGAGGCCTACAAGTTTAATAAAACGTGAATTCAACTCACTTTGCGGCATGGGAACAGCTGGTAGAGTTGAGGGAGTAGGAAGGCAGGAATTAAATCGCTGTCGCTGCGATCTGGCCACTGCACATCTACGGGTGCAGAGGTAACCCAGGAAAGAACGGTGGTTGCCCTGGGTGGGACGCGCCTCCCACAACCCCGGCCCGCGGGTCCTTCTGCAGTCTCCCACCTCCCCACTAGGGGCGGCCGCGACCTGCGCAGTGGCCGCGGCCGCAAAACTGCGCAACCTGCGTTTCCAGCCGGCCCTTTTTCGCCGCCGGGTTCCCAGCATGGCTGCCCCCAGTGCTGCGGGCCCGGGAGCCTCCTCTCCTTCGTGTTCCTGACAGCGCCTGGCTTCTGTGCGCTCCGGGTCTTCTCCGGGCTGTCTCAGCAGACATGTTCGCCAAGGCCTTTCGGGTCAAGTCCAACACGGCCATCAAGGGGTCGGACAGGTGAGGGAGAGGAGGCCCAGGGCCCCGAGACGTCTCTCCTGCCTGGAGGGCCCGCCGTCTAGGTGGGCAGCGCGGCCGACCTGGGGCCAGGCGGATGGGACAGCGGGGGAGGGATGAGTGATCTCCCGGGCTGTCTGGCGGGTACTCTGATGAAATTAAAAGAAATATAGTGCAACCCGCGTTTTCTGACCGCAGACTGTTAAGGTGTTGTGGAGGGGGTAGAAGTGAAGATCCCCGCCCTCCGCAGAGTTTGGCGCTCTTTGGAAGAGATCAAATAGGACACCGAGAACTAAAAAAATAGGAGAAAGAAGTGTCTAATGATTCCTTGTGTTAGGAGAATCAGTTGGAGTATGAGATGGGAAGAAATAGGGATGAACTGGAAGGAGAACGGTCTCATCGACAGTGTCTCAAATACAGACAGGATATGTTGTTGGGGATTTGGGAACCAGTATTCTATATGTGACATTCTCGGTGCTGTAGTGTAACTATTTAATCATAAGCTGACAGATTTGCCAGACATTTGAGAAAGGAGTGGATCTGAGTGCTAAGCATGAAGCCAAGAAGGCAGGGTTTGGGTATCCTCTGTCAGGCAGACTTTTCTCCCTGGACCTTTGTTTTCCTACCCATACAATGGAAAGACAGGCCTAGGAACATGTCAAAATAGAGGAGACAAAAGATGAGAAAGAGAATAGGATTTTGGAAGAGTGTATGAGAACAGGGCATCTGAAACCAGGCAGTCTTTCCATGTCCTTTATAAGTGAGTCCTTCCAAATTCTCTATTAAAATCAGCATTCATGGTGCTGGTGTGCTTGCTGCAGGAGAAAGCTTCGAGCTGATGTGACAGCTGCTTTCGCCACCCTTGGAACAGATCAGGTCTCTGAGTTGATACCTGGAAAGGAGGAGCTCAACATTGTGAAGTTGTGTACTCACAAAGGGGACGCAGTGACTGTGTACTCCAGTGGTGGCAACCCTATCCTGTTTGAACTGGAGAAAAATCTGTATCCTACAGGTATGAGAGCACAATGGAGAGGCTGCAGCGACAGTCCTTGCCTAATACGCCTTCTCTCTGTTTCTTCATTAACCTGCCTCCTGTAGGTCTTCCAGGTCTACCCCTAAGGATCTTTGCAGACCTAGCATTTCTACAGTTGGGTCTTCCAAGACCAGAAACTGCCTTAGGAAAGACGCACACACACACGTACACACGTACACATACACGCGTACAAGAGAGATGTTTACAAAGGGAAGTGCTGAGAAAAAGAGTGGGTTAACCAGAGATAGAGCAGAGGTCTTGCAAAGAATGGAATTTCATATGTAAAATACGTCCCTTAAACTACCTGTAATAAGATTTTCTTAAAACACTGAGGAGAGATACTGTATTAGGAGAGCAGCTAAATTAATTAAGCTGTCTATCTGTCTTCGTGATATCTTCAGTTAGGATGTCTCTCAGAGATTTATTCTTTGGCTCTGCCTGTATGTTGTTTTCTTTCTTTGTCACAGATTTCAGGGGCTCAGTCTTTGTTTCTCTTTGCCATAGCTACTGATACCTACTTTTTTCTATGGGACTTTTCCTCCTTCAATTGGCTGTAGTAGTCCAGTGCAGTTTCCTTAGGCCACTCCTCTTCCCCTACTTCTCTGCTGTGCCAGACCCTTTTTGAACTAGGGCTTTTACTGCTTATCACTATGGAAATGGGAAATAAAATGATACACAGGAGAAAGTTTCAAAATTCCCTACAGGCTGGCTCCCTGTTATTAAGTCACTTGATTCTGAGGTTATAAATGAAAGAGTTGTTGGTTTTCTGCTCTTACTTTAATCCTATGTGGCCATTTATTTCTGCTGCAATCCAGGTGGAGCAGTAGGTGCCCTCAAATCTCAAGTGACACAATTCCTTGAGTCTATGCTTAGAAATGAAACCTCTTTGGTCATTCCCTGGTAACCTTCTCTGGGAGCCAGCCTTGACAGCCACCCCCGCTCTCACACTGGGGATTTCAACTCAAAGCCTGAAATCTGGTAGACAAGTGCTCTACTACTGAGCTAAGTCCCTAGCCCTTTCTCTAGCCATGAGTTGAGTTTCTTTTCTGTATTCTGTTTAAAGTGACCAAAGTTAGGTTTTGGCAGTTCTCCAGCAGATTCGCTTTTTGGTGGTGAGTGTTTTCTCTGACTCTCTCTGCAGTGTACACGCTATGGTCCTATCCGGATCTTTTACCGACCTTCACCACATGGCCCCTGGTCCTTGAAAAACTGGTAGGGGGAGCAGGTAAGTGGATTTTTGTGTATTCTAGCTATTGCCTGAAGTCTGCTCAGTAAAGGCCAACTGACTTAATAAGTTTGCCCATTTCCTGTGTTCATATGGTTGACAGTGGAATTTTTCCCATGTGTGTGTTATGCGTTTCAGTTGGCTCGATCCATGAGTTCTCTGGGCTTCTCTGACTCTGTTGTAAGCCTTACATAAGATAAGTGATGTGAAAGTACTTTGTGTGCTACTGTCAACTTACTTTAAATCACAGAGCTGAATTTAGGAAACCAGCACAAGATATATCATGGTATAAGACACTCAGCCTGGTGCTTTTATTTGACCACTAGACCCCAAAAGGAGAACTGATATTCAAGTTGTTGTTTAAAAATTTCATTGTGAGTAACATAGCTGATTCCTAAGCAGTGTTTCTTGGTCAAGTGAATGAATAAATAATGAAATAAATAGTGGAATAAGACGGATGTGCAAAGTTGTGATGCTTTTGTTTGCTACAGATTTGATGCTGCCAGGACTAGTGGTGCCCCCTGCTGGTCTGCCTCAGGTACAGAAGGGCGACCTCTGTGCCATTGCCTTGGTGGGGAACAGGTACTGTGACAGGCAGCAGTGCCTTCTGGGGAGAAACATAGGTAAAAGGGAGGAAGAGGGAAATGGCAACTTCCAAAACATATGGACAAAGTATTGAGAAAAAACACAAGTTCTTCTGGAAGAAGCAGAGAGTAGGATATGGGGAAATGGCAGTGAACTTATGGAGTGTTTTTATCTAGGTGGGTGGGAGGAAGGCATTGTGGCTGCTGCTTTTTTCGTTTTTTTGTTTCACTGTGTAGTCCAGGCCAGCCTTGAACTTGCTGTATAGCCCAGGCTGGCCTTGAACTAATAATCATCAGTCTCCTGAGTACTGAGACTACTGGTGTGTGCTATCATGTCCAGCTGGCTGCTGTTTTTTTAAAAACTTAAATAATTTTAAGTGAGGCATAATGGTGCATGTGTATAATCCAAGTACTCTGGGAGGCTGAGGCAGGAGGATCGAAAATTCAAATCCAGTCCAAGCAATTTAGGGACTTAGTGAAACCCCGTCTCAAAATTTTAAAAAGGGGTGGAGATGTAACTCAGTGTTAAGGGTCCTGGATTCAGTCCCCATTGCTGTCCAAAAAAAATTTTTTTTCTTGAGACTTACAGAAGAGTAACAAAAATAGTACATAGTTCTGATATGCTGTTTACCCAGTTTTCTCTAATGGTAACATCTTACATAATCATGGTGTTATCACAACTAAGGGATTAACATTGGGACAATACTGTTAACTACACTGCTGACTTTATTCATATGTCCCCAGTTTTCCTACTGATGTCTTTTTTTTCCCATTCAAGGGTCCAGTCTATGATTTCACATTGCATTTAGCTGTCATATCTTCTAGCCTCCTCTGTCTGTGACATTCCCTTGGTCTTTCCTTGTCTTTTAGCATCTTCATCCTTTTTTCCCCATCATCCACATTATCATCCTCATCTTTTAATTATTTTTAATACCTTTATTGAGACACCATAAAATTTACCCAATTTAAATGTACCATTGAACAATTTTTGGTATAGTTACAGTTATGTATCTGTCACTTTGCTGCTTTTTAAAAATAAATTAGGAAGTAATTTTATGAACAGCTCTGAAATTAAAAGCCTCTTTGCCCCACAGTCCTCTTCTCAAAGAAACTGTTACTTTGATGTGTGTCCTTCCTCCCCTTTTTCAATGCTTATAGACGTATGTGTATAAAAGTATATGATTTGGGGTATATATGTTTAAAAATACAAATAAATTACACTTCGTGTATATTGTTTTTCCCATCATATAGTATGGATGTGTTCCATGTCAGCACACATACCGGTGCCAGATCCGCCAAATCTTTGCACCTGGTATGTGGTCAAGTATGGGATCTTATCCTGGTGGACAGTGAGGTTGCCTATAATTTGTGTTTATTACAAACAGTATCTTCTTGATGACTCTAGAAATACCAGTACCAGTATTTTTCTACAGTACACCTTAAAAAGCAGTACTGTTTCCCTAAAAAAAAGTATTGGTTTTTACTCCTGCCTACAGCGTATATGGAGCCTGTTTCTATGCTTATACCAGCATTGTTTCATTTTCGTTTGTACTGTCCTAGTGAACGAAGAATTACATTTCACTATTTCCTTCATTGCTTCTTTGAGAGAGGAGAGATTATGGGCATGAGAGAGGTCTGTGTTTGAAGTGTTTTTGTTTTTGTTGGTACTGGGGATCAAACCCAAGGCTGAGCTACTAAGCTCAGCACTGAGCTACATTCCCAGCCCTTTTTTATTTTTCATTTTGAGATAGAGTCTTGTTACATCACTAAATTGCCCAGGCTGGCCTTGAATTTATATGATCCTCTTGACTTGGCCTCCAGAGGGCTGGGATCATAGGCCTGTGCCACCAGGCCCAATGGAAAGATCTTATTTTTGCTACTCATCTTCCTTAAGCTTTTTGGAACCACACACCCTTAGACTCCTTTCTTTTTACCTATAGCAGAAATCAAGTTGAAAAGAATGGTAGGTCATTAACTTTCCCTCTACTGTTCTTTTTTTCATATGTACCTATGTACATACATCTTTATTAAGTTTATTGGTACAATGAGGATATACTTAATGATCACATTCATCACGGGAAATTTGTGCCTGTGCATGCAATATCTTGATTCTTCTTTTTTCCTGTTCCCCTCCCTTTCCTTCGAACCCTCTTTCCCTCCTTATTTACAAAGCTTTGTTTCCATTTTATCTTTCTTTCCTCCTGTTTTCTTTTCCTTTCTTTCTTTACCCCTTCTTTCCTCCCTAGTTCCCTCTACTATTCCATCTGACTACATAAGTGGTATTTGGCTCACATAGTGTAGCCCAGAAGGTACATGAGGGTGGGCATTGGGACAGTGCCAGGTGGGGGAGAGCACGGGGGTTTGTTAAAAATACAAGTCACATTCAAGACTGGAGATTCTGAGCCATTCCCCTTTTGGGGAACAGAGGAAAAAGATGTTTTTTAAAATTTTGGAAAGAAGCCAAATTCAAAGTTTCTGTCAAAGGAACTGATTATTATAGACACAACAAGTAGAGCCAGCACATTTAGTAAAACAAATTTTAAGTTCAGATGTTGGGAGCTCTTGAATCTTTTCCCTTGGACTCGGGCTGCTTTGCCAGGATGACACATTCTGCCTGTTAGCTCTCTGTCAATGTGTGATTGATGCCTGAGTAATGCTAGGGTGACAGATTTCTCATCGGACTTCGGATATCCAAGCAACAAGAGTCCTCTTCCCTATGCCTCTTTTAGCCTAATTTTGTTTTGTTTTGTTTTGTTTTTGAGCATCAGAAATGGAACTCAGGGCCTCATGCCTGCCAGGCAGGTGCTGTGCCACTGAGCTACACCCCCAGCCCTAGCCTGATTTGTGGCATGTGAATTGCCTCCCCTGAACTTCCTTATAGAATGATGGTTTTGATTTCTTATATATATATATTTTTTTAAAGGGAGTAGTAAATGAGAAACAAACAAACAAAGAAATAGAACCGTAGCAGCGTACCAGTATCATAATCATGAACAAATCAAAGCAAGAACATTCAAAGTGATACAGAGTCTCAAGACAAAATAATACAAATCAACAGTGGTTGTTCGCTGTCCTCAGCTACATTGCTCAGATTACCAGATGTAAGAATGAAAGATTGCTCAAACCATTAAAGAGAATAGGAAAATAATTCTTCAATAAAACAGTAGAGATAATACAGAGTTTCACTAGACAAGATGGTAGTTCACCATTGTAATTCCATTGCATAGTGTTACTTCAGATCAGTTGTTCAGACCACCAGACACAAGCATGCGCAATCGATCAGAACATAAAAAAATGTAATCGTTAACTGTTCATCTCAATACATCATCAGACATCAGCAATACAGTTATCGCAGCTATTCATATATATATTTATATTTTGCGTTCCTTTTTTTTTCTTCTTTCCCTCATCCCAGTGATTTCTTATAGTTTTGAAGTTAAAAGAAGGGAAATTTCAGCATCCTTACAAGTTATGCTTGGGTTAAACTGCTAATAGGAATAAAGCAAAGGCAGTAATTATGTCCATAGAGGAGTTACTTATAGGGAAGGGTTTAGCCAAGAGATGTTTGAAAGTTAATATTTATAGGTCATTGGAGGAAAACACACTGGGTGGAGCTTAGCTCTTTGATGGGGTGCTTGTCCCACGTGGGAGAGAAGAATGAGGGTCTGAATGCCTGCCCTCTCCAGAGCCTCCCCTCAGCCTTGTCTCTGGCCTGCTTCTTCCTAGAGCCCCGGTAGCAATCGGAGTGGCTTTCCTGTCCACCGCTGAGATGCTGGCTGCGGGCCTGAAGGGAAAGGGCTTCTCGGTGCTCCACACTTACCAGGACCACCTGTGGTGGGTACAGTGTTTTTTTTCTGTTTGCGGGGAGCCAGGCTGCGTGGGAGAGCATAGGCCTGCAATCCTGAAGGGCAAGGTTGGGTGTAGGGTTCAGCTGTGGCCTTGGGCAATTTGCTTACCTGACTTCATTTCCTTGCCGCATGTGGGGAAAATATATTTCCAGTTCAGGCAAAAAATCAGCAAGAACTTTGATGATTTTCTAGGTGAGTGTTAGAATTATAGACCTGGAAGACCTTCGGGGCTGGCAGTACTCATATTTTTAAATAACTCTGCTCAGTCAGGCCTTTCCTGTCACACACATTCAGGCATCCTGTGGCCCTGTGCTGGTGCTTCTGGATCTGCATCAAACAGGACGGACCCTCGAACCCCAGGATAACTGATTACTTTTATCGTATTCAGGTCTCAGATCGCCCTGCATTATGGAAAGTCACACGTTCTGACCATAACATTTGCTTTCCAGAGCCACCTTCCAGTTCACTCTCAGGTTATTCGCTTGTCATTTTACCAAAGCAGTAACAATGCACCGGTCCTCTGGCCCAGTGTGTGGCCTGCGGGTATAAACTCACCCTTTGCCTGAGGTGCAGCCTCAGCCTGCGTTGAGCAGATATCTGAGGGCAGATGACTGACTTCTCCTGGTGCCTTGGTTTAGTTCTCAGTCAGGTACAGCAACCATGGTCATGCCTTAGTTTGTTTTCATCAGCAGCTGCCTCAGCCCTTTACCCCTGCTTTAAAAATACTGTGGTACTTACTGTCAGAGTAGTTTGAACAGGTGCTTTGATCTCACAGTTACAAATCCTAATAAGCGTTAGTGCAGCTACCAGTTAAAACTTGGTTTGATTTACATAATCTTGGCTAAGGTAAAGCTTTTTACCTCTGCATTCTCTGCTATGCACCCCTTTTTATCCTATCTTCCCAGGGTTCAGGAATAAACGTCGGTAACCTCAGCCTTGCAAATTAGATTACATTTGATTTAACATTGGAGCTTGAGAATGTATTTGCAATCTTGTTTTTTTTTTTTTAAAAACTAGGGATTGAACCAAGAGCCTTCTGTATCCTCAGCCCTCTTTAAAATTTTTATCTTGAGGTAGGGTATTGCTAAGTCACTGACCAGGCTGGGCTTGAATATATGGTGTTCCTGCCTCAGGCTCCCAGAATGCTGGGATTTTGGGTGGGTACTATCACCACCTGACTTTTCATTTACTGTCTTTATTTTGTTTAATTCAAAGTGGTTTATTTATTTATTTATTTTATTCATACAAAGGGAGTGCTTGTAGGGGTTTTTGTTTGTTTGTTTTTGAGACAGGGTCGCACTACGTAGTTCAGGCTGGCCTTGAACTCATTTATGTAGCCCAGCGTGGCCTCAAATAGCGATCCTCCTGCCTCAGCCTCCTGAGTGCTGGAATTATAGGCATGGGCCACCACACACCCAGCATAGGGGTTTGTGTTTAACTTTTTTTTAGGGGCTGGGATTTAGCTCGGTGGCACAGCGCTGGCCCGGCAAGCGTGAGGTCATGAGTTCAATTCCCAGTACAGGAAAAAAAAACAAAAGAAGAAAAAGAAAAACTTTTTTTTTCTTTTCTCTTTCCTTGTCTCTATCTAATAATACAGTTATTCCTTTGGGTTAGAGAGAAAGTGAGAATTATTTTCCCCATTTCAGAGATGAGGAAACAGAGGCATGGAACTTTTGCTTTCTTTTTTTTTTTTCCTTTTTTTTAGTACCGAGAATGGTACTCAGGACCTTGCGCTTGCCAGGCAGGTGCTGTGCCGCTGAGCCACATCCCCGGCTGAGGCATGGAACTTTTGTGGGTCCCAAATTAAATTGAAATAGAATTGCTCTGAGAGTACAGGCTGTCTCTTTGTGTGATGTTCCTACCTTGGCCGGCTCTGAGCTCCTGGTGACTTCCATGGGTGGGGTGCGGACAGAACCGTGTCTGCTGCATGGTGTCTGATGGGAGACTTTTCCAGGCGATCGGGAGACAAGTCCTTTCCACCATCCATTGCTCCATCGGTGCAGGGTGCCGCCGATGTCAGTGAAGAGAAGGTGCAGGGAGACATGAGGGGCCTGGCCCTGCAGGGAGCAGAGGACGGGAGAGGGGAGGCCCATCCAGTGCATGGGGAGGAGTCCCTCCCAGAAGCCTCAGAAGATGATAGCACCCAGGACCTGAGCCCAGGGCCCACGGATGGCAAATCTGTGCAAGGTATGGCTCTGGAGTCGGAGGCCCATCCCCTAATCTCAGCTCAGGAGAGGACACTTCACTGTACTTCTGCCTAGCTGGGCAGTGACGATCTGGGAGGGGCCGGGCAAGTCTTCATTTCTGGTGAGGGTGGTGCAGCAGCCCTGTGGCTTCCTGCCTCTGATACCTTCTCCATAAGTTCTGTCTCACTGGGTGCCAGTCTCCCGATATTTGGGCAGTTTCCAGCCACAGCGCCCCAGGGTGTCTTCTGACTTCTCTGGGTGAGTGTTCCTGGCTTGGTGGGACTTTATGGCTTGACCCGCTTCTCTGGGTTGACGTAAAGGCTCGGTGTTCCCGATTTGCAGCTGTGGTACCTGGGAGTGGTTCTGTTCAGAGCCAGCCGGGCGAAGCAGGGAGGCATTCTGTGGTCCTCAGGAGGGTGTACTTCCTGTCTGTGCCTTGCAGAGCAAATGGATGACCTGGTACAGCAGTGCTTCCTGCAGGCCTTGAAGTGCCGAGTCAAAAAGGCCGACCTTCCTCTCCTCACGAGCACGTTCCTTGGCAGCCACATGTTCTCTTGCTGGTATGGAAGGCGCTATCCTGGGCTAGCAGGCGGGGGCCAGGTCTCACTCGTGGTTGGTGCTGGAGCCAGACAGGATAACGGGGACTGATTGAGGGCCATGCTGTGGGAAGAGTGGAGGGGAAGGTTGATCTGGCAAGTAAATTCCTTCTGGGTTTTAATAACATCTCTGAGCCAGTGAGAGGATGTGGAGGGATGGGAAGTTGATATTTTCAGCGTTCTCCGAGTGCCGCCTCTGCTGTGGTGGCTCCAGGCTGTTGCTCGTGAACCAGGCAGCGTCCTGCACAGTCTCTGGGCAGCCTCTCCATCAGGAGGCTTCTTGTGATGCTCCATCCCTCGTGCTTCTCAAGTGTCAGAGGGACGGTCGGGGTTGCATTGGTAGGAAGAGGAGGCACGAGGCCCCTGGCCCCCCACAACAAAAGCCACCAGGAGAGGCAGGGTTACTGGTGACAGAAGCTCCTCTTGGAGGACACAGCCACAAGAGCACAACCATGAGAGACTGCGACTAGTTGCTGGGTTTCCAGTGCTCAGGGGCTTGCTATGAAGAGTGGGTAGTGGGACGTACAATCGCACCACTCTCATACTGTCCTGTCAGGAGGCCTGCTGTTGATTTTTACCCTTGGATTGAACTCCTTGCTTTCTGAGACTGTATCTGTATCTCTAGAAACAGTTTTTAATCTGACTTCTTCCATTTGCCGTGGGCTTCCGGAAGGCACCTGTGTAAGCGAGACATTGGAGTGTGGGGTAGTACCCTGGGTCATTTGTCCTCACCTCGCTGGCCTGCAGTTCTGGGGGAAGGGTCCTAGCGTATTCTCTGAGACAGATGTGAACCTGGTGTGGGTTCAGAAACGCCTCCCTGCGGATCCTGCTGCCACTGAGTGCATGTTTTGAGAGGTGCACGTTCTGGGAGGAGGGAAAGGTAACAACTTCCATCAAGAACTTCTACTCAAAACGTAATTGCTCAAGGGCAGAGGTCAGTGAACTTTTCTGTAAGGGGCCAAAGATTACATATTTTAGGTGTAGCAGGCCAGAGGGACACTGTTACAACTGTTCCTGTCTGCCATGGTACACCAACAGATAAATAAAGGGTTTAGCTCAGTTGGGCAGCAGGCTGCAGCTGGCCAACCTCTGCTCTAGAGTGGCTGTCCACAGTGTGAACTTGCTGTTGGACAGTGGGACTTTTAAGGCTGTGGAAAGTTTTCTGGTTTAAGAGGAATCTAAAACAGTATCTAATGCAGTAGCTGATAGCTGCATATGACCAATTAAGTCTAGATTAATTAAAGTAAATAAAACTTAAAATATGGGTTCTTGAGCATGGCAGGCACATTTCAAGTGCTTAATAGCTACTGTCCTGGATGACTTCACAGAGACTTCTGTTGGATACCACTGGCTCAGAGTGTCCCACAGTCCGCATCCCTCCTGGATGCCACCCCCAGGAGGAGAGCTCTGGAATGGACATGGGGGAGGAAGGCCGAGGCCAGATTTCTCCTCTTCACATCAGGCAGGTCCCACCCCACTGCTCTTTTGGCTTAACTTGCCTTTTCCGTCTGCCATCAGCCCTGAAGGACGACAGCTGGACATAAAGAAGTCGAGCTATAAAAAGGTAAGCAGGTGTCATCTCTGCATCCACACGTGGAGTGCTGTGTATGGGGGGTGGACATTTGGGATGCCCCTCTGCAGGCTCGGGCTAGAGTCAAGTTTTCTGATTCTAAGGGGAATAAAGAAATTCCCTGGGCCGAGGCAGGTAGGGCCCCGACTCCACCTTCCCACTTGGCCCCTTTATGTCTGATTAGAGTTCTGGCAGGCATCACCAGTTTGTCTCTGGCAGCTTCTTCTCCACCACCTGTAGGGTGGGGACCTCCTAGTCCCAAGTGGAGTTGGGCAGAAACTAGGATCAGTTTGCTTAGCCTCCGAGCTGGCCTTGCCCGAGCTGGCACTTCCCAGGAGCCAGTGTGTGTATGTGGAGTCAGTGAGGGCCCTGCCTGTCCCTCTCCCCAGCTCTCTAAGTTCCTGCAGCACATGCAACAGGAGGAGATTGTGCAGGTGAAGGAGCTGAGCAGAGGGGTGGAGAGCATTGTGGCTGTGGACTGGAAGCATCCAAGGTGAGTGCAGGGGCTTGGCCTCTGGAGCTCGGCTGACCCTGGGCACTGGGCCTCTGAGTGAGGACTACAGAGACACTGGTGTAAAATGTGTTTTTTCTTTCCTTCTGCTGGGTTTTAGGATCACGTCTTTCATCATCCCTGAACCCTCCCTGACCTCGCAGACTGTGCAGGAAGGTAGCAGGGAACAGACCTATCACCCTCCAGATATAAAGGCCCTCTACTGTGTCCCTGCCAGCATGACCCTCCTCTTCCAGGAGTCTGGCCACAAGTGAGTACAGAGAGCAGCCCTCCTCTGCCTGTGGGGTGTTCTGGCTACATGACCTCTCTCAGCGTGAGTGGTATTCTTCCGTGACTGGCAAAACCTACCTGCCCCATCTCCCTTCCTCCCAAACCAGCATTACACCTTCTTCCCAATCCTGCCCATCTCAGTCAGCAAAAGGGAAGAAAGCAAAGGTCAGAAGCCAAGCAGAGAGGGCTGCTCAGCAGAGGGAGTCTGGGTATTTGGTCTGTCCCTTTGCACAGCTGGAACAACCCCGGGCACCTCCTGTCTCACAGGAAGGGGAGCACTCTCGAGGCCAGCGAGGTCCGAGCGACTGTCATTGACTACGCCAAGAAAAATGACCTGGTGGATGCCAACAACAAGAAGTGAGTGGCTGGAAACGAGGTCTGTCTTGTCAGGTCTTTATCCTTAGCAGACAGAGGAGGAGGTCTGGGGATGAGGTCTGGGGATGGAGAACAGAAAATCTCAGCATCTTAAGAACGCGCAAGGCCTTTTCTTATACACTGAGGGCTGCAGACATCTAGAGTTACTGGCCAGGACGCTCAGATCCCTCGGTGCTGTCACCACTGCCTGTGGACTGAGCTCACCTTGCCTTATGCGTAGCACCACCGAGCTTCACGTCCAAGTGTTTGTGTATTATTTTCTTAATAGGCACATAGGTGCTGTACTGCCAGAGAGGCCCATTGAGTGATATATATATATATATATATATATGATTTTAATCTAAAAAGACAACCTCATGGTGGGTGTGATGACACATGCCTGTAATCCCAGCAGTCTGGAGTTGCAAGTTTAAGGCCAAGTTTAAATTAATAGCAAGACCCTATCTCCAAAAAACAACAAAAAAGACATTCTCATGACTTAAAATTGAGCCCCACCAGTCTAATTTAATCCCTTTGTGCTTTGTTTGTTTGTTTGTTTATTTGTTCTGAGACAGGGTCTCACTATGTAGTGCAGGCTGGCCTCAAATTCATGGTAATCCTCCTGCCTCAGCCCCTTGAGTGCTGGGATCACAGGTTTGTGCCACACATCCCAACCCCGTCTTCATTTGTGTTAACATTTAAACTTACTTATTTTGTAGTGCTGTGGATGGAACCCAGCAGTGCTTCACACATGCTAGACAAGTGCTTTACCACTGAGCTATATACCCTGGCCCTAAATTATTATTTTAACTCTACAAATTTATGGGATACTGTGTGATAATTCGGAGCACATATACTGTGTGATGACCAGATCGGGGCAGTTCCCATTCATATCCCTACTTCTCTCTTGCTAGCTAACTAAGAAAGTAAGCCTAGAAAGTTACATTACGTGCTTTGTAGCAGAGCTAAGCCACAAATGCTGGTCTTCAGATTTGTCCCATTCCGCATATTGTCCACCCCCTGCTTCTCTGCTTAGGAACGTGTGCTCACCCCCTTCCATTGGTGGGCACACGCCTGATGGACTCTGACCTCACCTGAGCCTGGTCCTGAATGACTAAAGGAGACATAAGAGATAAATCCTGAGTCTTCACGGACAGAAGGGTCCAGACTTAGATTTCTGTATTGCTTCTTCTTTCCCTTCAGTCTAGTGAAATTGGATCCCATCCTGTGTGACTGTATCCTAGAGAAAAATGAACAGCACACAGTCCTGAAGCTTCCGTGGGACAGTCTCCTGAGCAGGTAATAGGAAATGGCGATCTTTCTCTAACTCTTGTCCCCTCCCCTTAAGATCTTAAACTTCAAAATCATCACTATCATGTCTGTGACTTTCTTCCCATAATTTATGCCATGTCAGTCTATAAGTATATGGGCTTGAGTAATTCGGATGCCAAGTTCCTTGGGACAGTTTGAGCCAAAATGACATAGAAAGGAAGAAAAGAAACATTAATAAAAAATAACTTTAACAAGAGAAGCAAAAAGGGCTGGGGAGAATTGTCTTAATGTCCTCAAAGGAAAGATTCTTAGTGCTGCTGTTTCACAGAACCAGAACTGAAAATAATTTATACCAGGGGTCAGCAAACTATACGTCATGGGCCAAATCTGGCCTGCCCCGTTTTGGTTAAAAAGAAAAGTTTTACTGGAATACATCTGAACCCACGTATGTGCTGTCTGTGAATGCTTTGTCCCAGAATGGCGGGACTGAGTAGATGTTACAATCTGGGTGGCCTGTCAGACCTAAAATATGTACCACCTGGCTTCTTCATAGACAAAGTCTGTCCATCCTTATACATAAGACACCCAAAGAAAATCTCTACAAGAGGTAGAAATTCCTCACGGTAAAGGTGTTCTATGAAAGCTGTATTATTGGAACATGCCAGTGGTGTGAAGGCAAGAAGGAAAGAAGCTGGAAAGGTGTGTTGTTGAAACTGGTTGAACTCCCACAGAGCAACCCATGGAGTCTCAGAAGGCCAGGCCAATGTCCAGTTCCCAGGGACCAAGTTCCCAGGGGCAGTGGACCTCAGCTTTGGCTGTACCCAGGAGCTTTCGAGACGTCTCTACCGCAGACACTGATGTGGTAGGGATCTGGAGGAGTCTTAGGCACAGCCAGGTTTCAGACCACAGCCCTAAAAAGTCAGTTTCCACTCAGGGCCTGCTGGCCGGGGTATGAAGAGATGGTTTCTGTTGACTTTATCCGTTTCTAGTCACAACTTTCATTTCAGATGTCTTGAAAAACTGCAGCCTGCCTATCAAGTAACCTTTGCTGGACAGGAACCTGTTGTGAAGAAAGGGAAAATCTGTCCTATCGACATCACCCTAGCACAGAGGGCTTCTAATAAAAAGGTAATTTTAAAAAGATGCTAAGTTCTGGTCTCCTCATATTATTGGAGGTTTTGGGGCTGGCTTCCAACACTGCAGAGTTGTTTATGAAACATGCTTGTGTACCTGGCTAGGCCCTGTATCAAACAGACAGAGCTGACTCCCCTTCCTCAGCCTAGAGGGTAATGCCTGGAAACCTGCTAGTCTGTAAAAGTAAAGATTTTTTTTTCCATAGTAAAATACCCTAAGCTTCAGCTCTTATACATTCTGTTACCTCTTGGGCCTTGCTCTGTGAAAATGAAACCGCTTGTGTTTATCTTGGCAGCACAAAGTTGTAGGGAACTAATTCGATCTGACCTCAAGCATGTGGAGAGCTGTCTTCTGCAAGAGGAGTGCTCTTCATTCTGTGTGCCTGAGAAGACAGACCTGGGGTCACTGGGAGAAATCCCAAGAAGACAGGCTCGGGCTGCAAATAGAGAACTTGCTAGTAGTGTATGGTTATGAGCATGGGCTCTGGAGTCAGACCCAGGTTCAGATGCAGCCTTTGCCTTGATGGGGCTGCAGGAGAATCAAAGCTGACCATGAGCTGGTAACTGTTGTAGCTGACAGTGGTCCATGGAGGTTCATTCTACTATTCTGCTTTTACTTCTGTTTTATGTTCTCCATGATTTAAAAAAAAAAATTGTGATTTGTGCGATACACAGTATCTGTCCCATTAAATATATAACACATATTAGAGGGGGTAGAGAGAATCATTTCAGAAGTATAAAATAACCTATTTGGATAAGAAGATACATAGGGCTGATGAACCATCAGGAAGCACAGAGGAGGGGAGGCTGGGGGCTCAGGAGGGCCCCCTGCAAGGGAGGGCATGTGCCTGGTACCCACTGTCCCTTTTGTCCCCCCAGGTGACTGTGGTCAGAAACTTGGAGGCCTATGGTCTAGACCCATCCTTAGTGGCCACCATCCTCCAACAGCGATGCCAGGCCAGCACCACAGTCACTCCTGTCCCTGGAGCCAAGGATGGTTTGCAGGTGCAGATCCAGGGGAACCAGATCCACCACCTGGGCCAGCTGCTGCTTGGTGAGCACTCCTCCAAAGAGCAGAGGTGCTGGGCCAGTGTTGCACATTTCTGGCTGCCTGACCTGGATCAGGTTGTCAGGACACACATGTGTGCACATCCACAGACAGCACTGATTTTCAGTGCTTCACGGCAATGTGACGGTGCTGCACTGAGTTGAATTTTGATCTTGTCCTAGGCTAGCAATATGCTACTGTTGGGCAGGCACAGCTTCTAGTCAGCTGCAGGATCCTGCGGGTGAACAGCTGACACTGCACAGTGTGCTGCTCTTGAGCTGAGATGTGCAGTGGGTCATTACCTGCATTTTCAGCTTGTAATGTTTTCAGCTTACAAGGGCTTATCAGCTTTTTTTTCATTTCCGGTATCAGGAATCGAATTCACGACGTTGCGCTTGCCAGGCAGGTGCTGTGCCGCTGAGCTAAATCCCCAGCCCCTACAAGGGCTTATCAGGACATAACCCCATCATACATCAAGGAGCATCTGCATATGGGGGCAGGCGCACGTGCGCGCACACATGCACACGCACACACCCATGTAGTTTTTAGCAGCTAACGAGATGGAGCCAGTGTTTGAACCAAATCCTGTGGCCCCTTTTGAGCTCACTGCTCTCTCAAGCACATACACTATTAGTTTTCTCCCTGGTCCTCTTGTTTCATAAGGCATTTGTTGAGTACCAAGATGGTGTAGGCACTTGGCTGAGATTTTGGCAGGCATCTCCATAGTCAGAACGAAGCTGCGGAATTATTATCTGTTTTGCAGATGAGGAATGGCTAGAATGGTACCCACCATTCTGAAATGGTTCAGTACTTTGCCCTGAGCTGGTTTTTTTTTGGGGGGGTGGTATTGGGGCTTGAACCCAAGACCTTTGCATTGAGCCCTATCCCACCCCTTTTGTTTTTAGTTTTTATTTTGGGACAGAGTCTTCCTAAGTTACTGAGTTGCCCAGGCTGGCTGTGAACTTGCAGTCCTCCTGCCTCAGACTCCCAGAGTGCTGGCATTGCAGGTGTGCCCCACCATGACTGGTTCACCTGCCTCTTGAGTGCTGTTCTTAGGCTCGGAACTTTTTATCTTGCAGCGCCTCCCTCCCTTCTGCTTGTTCTGGTGACCCAGCCTTATTTGTTAGGTTCCTTAAACAAATCTGAACACGTCACTCCCCTTAAGAAACTTCTTATACCCCTTCCATGCTTTCAGAACAAAGCCCTCAGCTCCCTGCACCCACTCTCCCACCAGCCTCTCCCAGAGGCCCTGTGCAGCTCTCACACTTCCCAGCCTCAGCCCTGCTGTCCTCTGCCTTTCCCAGTGGGCCAGGCCCATCCCTTGACTGCTTTCTTCCGAGCAGAACCCTGTGCCCTCCTACAACTGAGTCTCCCTGTCGTCAGCTCATTGGCCCACCTCAGTGGTCACATCCCATTTCCCTCAATGAGCATTTAAAAAGCTGCTAACATAGCACTTCCAGTTGTGTTTAATTCCTGTGTAGTGTCTTCAGCTTGGTTAGTTTCTTCTAATACTGAACCCCCCCACCAGATGGAGCCCCTCATGGCAGATACCATGCCTTTTCATGCTGTTCCCATCCTCGGGGCCCAGCACGTAGTAAATGCTCAGTGAAGTTATGGCCTGTGGGAGCACCTAGCAGCCGAGCCCTTTAGTGAAGGCCCTGTGTGAGAAGCTGAGAAGGAGCACAGATGGACACATCACTCACCACAAACATACTCTGTCTTGAGACATTCTACATGCCCTGTCCCAGAGGGCATCTCTGAGGCCGTGAGCCTTAGCAGTCTGAGTTGGGGTCATTGGAACAGTGTTTTGATGGCAGGGATGGTGCCGTGGGCCGAGTGGGTCTGGAGGTTAGCGAGGCTCCAAGTTGGGCCAAGGAGTGGTGCAGAGAAGTAGAGGAATGAGGGTGGAGTGCCACCGTGCTCACCGCGCAGTGTCTGCCTTTGGCTTGTAGAGGAGTATGGGCTTCCGCGAAGACACATCCAAGGCCTGGAAAAGGCACCCAAGTCCGGCAAGAAGAAGTGACTGACTTGTTTCAGCTGATGGATCGAGTGGAAATCCAGGCTCTGGGCTGGTAATTTATGAGCGTTTTCAGCTTTTACAAATTAAAAATGTAATTCTTTACCAAAGATTTTTATTGTGATCTAAATCTGATTCCCCTCTTCTTTCCGCCACTTAGCAAAAATAGTATACTAGGGGCTGGGGATATAGCTCAGCGGCATAAGTGCCTGCCTAGCAAATGCAAGGTCCTGAGTTCAATTCCCAGTACCAAAAAAAAAAAAAAGAAAAACAAAAAATAGTATACTAACTTCTAAAGTCAGCAGCGTTTTAAGTCACCAGAAAAGGCTGCGCCCCGGGCCTTTTCCATCTGAGGTCTTGGTAGTTCAGCTCCTCCCACTTTCACTACAGGGCAGCCCAGCCATGTTCTGGCGGGTGGGGCTTCCTGTTTTGAAAGCCCCTCTGCCAGTTACTGCGTGGCCTCTTGCTCATCCATTCCTATTACCTAGTTAACCTCCTAGCCCAAAGACAGTCCCCTCACACCCGTCATAAGGAAGACAGAAGCTAGCTGTTCTGTGCCATCAGTCGAGGCAGCAGAGGAACTGAGTCTACGTTGCAGCAGAATGTGGGTTGGAGGGACACGGGCAGAGGAGCATGGTGGAACATGAGCCTGTGTGATGGACCCCGCTCCTGACTGGAGCGCACCGCCACTGACAGGCAACTCTGCGATGTGGTCCCAAGGTGATGACCTGTTGCAGCGAAGTCTTAGCCGACGGATGTCTTCTTTAGTGCTGACATTTTAACTCGGAATTCACGGCAGGGGTCTTCGGTTGGTCCTCAGCGGGCCATGCACTGACTTCCTGAAAAGCTGCACAAGGAGTCCTGCGGTCACTCTCCTAGGAGAGCAACCATGCTTTCGTCACATTCCCCAGGGTTCATTGCTCAGCCTCTGGCAGTTGCGGACAGCATTTCTGCGACAGTGCTGTCCTTGTCCAGCAGGCGGAGAAGCCGCACCGAGTCCCATACGCGATCTGGGAATTTTACCATCAAGAAGCAGTTGCGCTTCACCACACTGTCTGTTTTCCTTCTCACGTCACTTCTCCAAAAACTGAGAAAGGCTTGAGAATACCCACAAATTATCCTGCGGAGGCTTGGACAGGAAGGCAGGGAATAATCATCGAGATGTGTGTGGGGCCTCCTGCCTTCTGCCCTTGGGCCCGGACTGGGCCTGTTCGCCGGTAAGGACACCATTACCGTCTCTACTGGCATGAGCACAGGAACCAGGGAATGATTTCTGAAATTGACCCCAAACAGGATCCTGCTGCAACAGAGCCTTTGCACAGCTGGAGTCCGGTGGAGGGAATCGCGCGTGTGTAACAGTAGGGAAGCAGGTCCTGAACACGAGTGCAGTAACTTTCAGTGCTGTACACAGTTTCCTCACAGTCACCAGTTTTACACAGTCTTGGAAGGATTGGAGGCTCAGAGAGATTGTGTCTTGTCTTTTAATCCTGCTAGAGAAACAAGGCCAGGAAGTGGGGGGCCGGGTCCCATAACAGTAAAGGAGCATCCATTCTTAACTGTGGTTCAACCCAGAACCCTGCTGTGACCGAGTGCTATTGAGACCTGTGCTCTGAGTGGTTTTTCCAGGAATGGTGGCACCTTTGGACTGAGTCACCCTCCCTTTTTGCCCTTGTGAGTGGCATGGAGATGGGAAAGGGGGCGGTGTGCAGCTGGACTGTAATGGGTTCATTTTTCTATATGCTAAGCCAAATCATCTATATCAAGGTCAAACTCACAATGTTGTGAACTCGTGCTATAACAAAATGAGTTTCAGCGTAAAGCAGGAACTGCTTCATTTCCATGCTTTGGCCAAGTCACTGAAAGCATCCTCCTGGAAGGCTAGGCTGCTGCTGGTGGCAGGTGTGCGCAGTGATCGGCTGTTGTTAGGGTTGCCCAGCAGAGAGGGGGAGGAAGGTGGCTCGACTGGGTGAGCTCTGGCATGTGTGATGCATGGTCAGCACCAGAAGACGGCAAGACTTGCTGTTCAGTAACTGAGTGGCTGGTTGTTTCAGTGTTTGTGGACGTGTTCCTTGCTGGACTCCTTTGGCCATCTCATGCATCCCTCCTTCTCCAGATGTAATGGCCTTATGTTTCCAGGGACACATTCTTCCTTTTAAATAATTCCAGAAATGGCACCATTGCGTCCCTCAGGAGGCTGTCCTGATGCTCAGCCGTCCTCAGCTCCACAAAGCGCTTCTCTTCCAGCTCAGTACCGCTTCTGTCAGAAGTCCCCTGCGCCCTCCCACTTGGGCTCACGAGGCAGCACCTCTGGCCCACATGCTTGGATGACTTTTCACAAGCCTTTGAACAGTAGCTGCGTTCCTCTGCACACTGGCTCTGGAGAAGTGTGTGACTGTCCCTATTTCCCCATCCCAACTCCATTTTCACACAGTGGTAAAGTTCAAGGATGACACTTCGATTGTGAATCATCTTTACAAGCTTTTATTTCTTTTTGAAAACCCATATAAGAAAGACATTTGAAAAGAAACAGTCTTAAAACCAACACACACTGAGCAACGTAACCATGGAAGGCACTACCAGCAGTTACACCCACCTCCAGGAGGGAAGGAAGCGCTATATACACTGTCCAGAGGCGCAGACCTCAGCATAGGCCCTGGGGTTAACTGTGCTTAAAAGTCTGAATTTTCCCATAATTTCTTCTTTCATAAAGAACTGTTATCTCTTATATATAGCTATATGCCTTTATGGATATATGTACATAATTTGCTTTCCTTCTCAAAAATAAAATAGCCATCCCGTTGAGGGAGGTTCTGAGCAGCATTCGAGGTGGTTGCAGCAGGAGCCATGCCTTCACATTAGACATGCAGGGCTGAGGAAGGGCTCTCCACCCGCCCCCTTTACTACATGGCAGGGAGAGAGACTTTCTAAGGGAGGGAAATGACAAAGCTGAGCATGAGATGGCAGGTACTGGGGTTTTGGTAGCTTAAAAAAATCAGTTGCTAGCTCAGATGGCTTCCGTAGCTCTGGAGGTCACGCGCAGTTTGTATGGCAGCTTAGCATTCCTCTGGGGTGAGGGCAGCGTGGACTCAGGGACTTGGAGAGGGGATATCTGAGGCTGCAGGGAGGAGCGTAGGCTCCAGCCAGCCCATGAGGGGCTTGGGAGGAAAGAGGGCATCAAAGAAACAGTCACTTGGAGGCTGGACTGGAATGACAGTCCTCCCTCTGCCCCGGAGTGTCTGCAGTCCTGGCGACTTGCTGGCATTGTCTGGCTAATTTATTTTTAGTTTGAGGAGGAGCCAGTACCATTATTCAGTCAGGAAGCTGGTCCTCCCTATCCCTGTGGTGTGATACTGCAGGGAGTCAAAGCCCAGGAACCTGCGTGGGAAAGGTGTGCGAGTGGAGGCCCTGGGCCCCTGTGGAGTGGAGGCTCCCAGCCTTGTCTCCCACACCACCACTGCCCGCTTCCCATTAGGAGCAAACCAGCCGCAGAGCTTCAAGCAAACACACCCTACTCCTATCTCTCTCTGAAAACAAAAAGGCACCGAGGTCAACAGGGAGGCCGGGCCCACGAGTTCCCTGAGTGCGGGACTGTGGGCTGGCCAAGCTTCACAACAGAAAGAACTCCAATTTGGCTGAGTTGGAGAACCCCCTTTGTAATTAAGGCCACCCCTTGGGCAGCACCTGAAGATCCCATAGTCCCAGCGGGCAGGGGAAAGCAGTGCTGGAGGCCAAGGAGGAAACAAGGCAGCCCAGGCCCTCCTCTGCTGTCCAGCTCAGGGATGGCTGAAGACAGCTTGGATGTTTCTGTGCAATACTGGTTGGCTTTCTCTTACTGTCTGGTTTTCTGACTCAGCAGGAGACTTTTAAAATGGTAAGTGGCTGGTTCCCCTTTGGCAGAAACACGTGAGGATGATGACAGTATCAGTCCCAGATTTGTAACTTCAAATAGCTGTTCCAGCACTCTGGGAGGCCGGCGGGAGGATCTTGTCTCTAGCCCAGGCTGGGAGCTTAGTTACTTGGTGAGACACTGTCTCAAAATAAAACAACAAAAAAAGGCCTAGGAATATAGCTCAGTGGGAAACCCTGGGTTCAATCCCCAGTGCTACAAAAAGCAAACAAACAAAACTAAATAGCTGTTGACAAACACACGCAGACACACACTTCTGAGTTCACATGTGCTCAGGCTCAGGCAACCAGGGCGGGGAAGGCTGCAGCGTCTCAGGAGTCCAAGCCACCCTGAGCTCTGGCGCACTGAGCATCTGGGCACAGTGACTGATTCCTGCCCGTAAGCTCGGCGGCGACTTGGGACCGTGGGACTATCCTCTCGTGAGCATTATCCTGACTTCAGGGCTTGACCTAAGACCTGCTGCAGAGTAAATAAATAAAGGTATTGCAAGAGGCAAATGAAAGAGAAAGTGAAGAAGGATCAAAGCCAGAGAAAGAACAGAGCTCTGAAACCCTTTTTCTTTCCTTCTGCTGGCTGGTGCCATCGGTTCCAGTTTGGTGACCAGAGAGGCAGCTTTTTGGTTTGGAAAATGCTTCCAGATTGAACGAGGGCAACACTGTTGGCTCCGCACAAGTTCCGATCCATCCTTGGCAGAGTCCATCAAGGGGTATCATGGTGGGAGCAGGGGGGTAGGAATCAACCCGTACCCAAACCCTTGTCCACGGAAGGGGCTTTGTGCCACATCTAGAGTCGCTGGGCAGGTGCAAATGCACCCACCAGAGATGTCCTGAGAAAAAGTGTCTTCCAAAATAATAATAATAAAAATTAATCCAAGGGTACTGGGAAGAGAGGAGGCGAGACCAGTTACCCAGGTTTTCCCTGGGATTCTCTCAAGGCCTCTTCCAGTTTCTGTCTGAACTTGTTGTACTTCTTCTGCACTTGTTGGATTTTGTCCTGCTCTTCTTTTTCCAGGATTGTGAGGAAGTTCTGGAGCTCAGGGATGGAGAAGGCATCCCACTGCGTGAGGGGGCAGGGAGAGACAGAGAGGGAGGGGACAGGTTAGAAGTTGCCCAACCTAAGGCCTGCAGCCACCTTCTTCACAAAGTCTGCATCAGGGATTCGGCACACTTTGCTACTTTGTGGCAGGTACGATGTGGGAAGCTGGGGTTGTACACATCTGTCACACCAGCAGTAAAAGTGCAGGTCCTGGCACCTCATGACCAAGAGGTTCCAGTTCATGAGCCATATATTTATTTTGAGAATTACTAGAGATCTTGGCAGACCCTCTGGAGGCGGGTAAGGACAGCAGGGCTGGAGCCTCTCCAGCTGTGTGACCTAGAGCGCCCCAGTCCCGCACCTTGACCCGTTTTCTCCTCCACCTGAGATTAGGGCACCATCTTCAGTACAGGCAGAGCAGACGGGGAACAGCACTCCTGGAGAGGCCAGCCTGGAGCAGAGGGTCTGGGGCCCTCGGGGCAGAAGGCAAGTCTGACTTCTCTCCTGCTGACCCAGGGCATGGGCCCAAGCACGGGGACACCTACGCTTTTTGAGCACAGATGGGAACCGCGGCTTATCTGGCTCAGTCCCCACACTGGGTGAGTGAAGAACCTGGAGTCCCCAGAGGGAAGGTGGTATAACAGCAGCAGAGCTGGCGGTGGCAGCTGTGGGCCCTCAGGCTGGGGAGCCCTCCCCCAGGCCAGCAGTCTCCCAGCAGACTCTTCTGTCCACTCAGACTGATAAAACATGGGCATGGAGCTGGCCTGGTTGAAGTGGGGACAGAGCTCACCTGCCTAGATCCTGCACAGCCCCGGGACCCCCAAGACTGCTTCTCACACCCCAAGCTCCCATTGAACAGTGTGACAGACACGGAGCCCCTCCTCTGTTCTCACTGCTCCCCGGACACCCCACCTCCGAACAACCCAGGCTGTGGGGAGCACCAGCTTGGTTTCACCCATTTATGCTGCGGACTGGACACTGTTCACCCCCACCCTGACCCAGGAAAGAAGTTGGTATGTTAAGAACAGGAGAAAGTCAGTGGCTCAAAAACATCTGCATCCAGTGGAACCCAGAGGTGGAGCTTGCCGGGCCTCAGCCATCCTGGGGCAAAACGCCTGGGCTCAAACCCAGAGAGTTTCTCAGCCCTCTCCCCCAAGTTTCCAGAAACAAAGCACAAGAAATCCTTCCTTTCCACGGCCTTGCCAGACACAGGCCCTGACCTGCCAGCCCTGGGGGCTGACAGCGCTGGCTCAAACCCTGAGCCTTCCCAGCCCAGCTCTCCTGGCAGTCACCTTCCTGCTGCTGCTCCGCAGCCCTGCCCCTGCTGGGCAGTGAGGACAGTGCCCACCTTTCCGACACAGCGTGTCCTGAGGCTGGGCTTGTGCCGAGGGTCCAGACTCACCTCCACCTCTCCGGTCTCATTCTCCTTGAGCACGAAGCTGAGGACATCGGTGTCAGGCCCTGCGAGCAGGCGTAGGTAGAGGGGGCAGTCGGCTACAGACAGCTTCTGGAAGAGCACTGTGAAAGGAGAGGGGGTGGCTGCTCACACTGGTAGAGAAGGGTGGGCCCGAGCTGGGAGGCGCAGATTAGAAATCTGGAAGTGGGGCCTTCTAACTGGAAGCAGACGTGAGATACACCTGACAAGAAGGGATAGGGCTGGCCTGCGTGTGGCTCAGTGGCAGAGCACTCGCCTACCATGATGAGGTGCCATCCCCAGCAACATCAGAAAAAAAAAAAAAAAAAAAGGAAAGTGACCCTTTATCTTGGGTGTCTGCTCAGAGTTTAAACTTGTTTCCATTCACATCATCTCCCAGGAGATTAGGCATGCTGGCAGTTTCCCTCTTGTTACACACCCTGGCAAACTGCCCAAGAAGTTAGGAGCAGAGTGAGCAGGCGTGAGCTCCCGAACCCAGCTGAGGTCCATACGTGGCTTGTCCACAGAGCTGAGCTCCTGTGGCTGGCTGGGCCCAGGTGCACCCATGCCCTTCCTCCCCCCAGGGCAGCTGGGGTTTTAATGGTGGGCACGGACACAGGGAGAGGTGGTCTCCAGTAGGGAGAGCTCTCTCATACCTTGCCCATCCTTATGTATCCGCTTAAAAAGTGCAAACTTCTGGGGATTGTCCACAACCATGAACTTCTTGAGCAGTCCCTGGATGACCTCGCTGACGGTGGTGGTACTGCTGATGTGGAGCTGCTTGATGGCATCGAGTGGCAGGTAGAAGGACGTCCGCTTGTCCGTCGTGGCCGCCAGGTTCACCTCTTTGATGGCGTCATAGATGGACTGAGGCCGGATCCCGGCAGGCACTGTCACTGGCCGCCGAAGCTTCAGATGCACTTTGATGAAACCCGTGTAGGTACCATCTTCACTCTGCAAGGGGGAGGAAGTCACCGGGTTCAGGGAGGTCCAAGGTGTGATCCTGTCTGGGTCCATGCTGATAGAGCCACCCCAAGAAACCCCACCAGTCTCCCCGAGACCCTTCCTGTCTCTGCTGACCTAGGGAGGCCCATACAGGGTCACAGGGATGCAGAAAGGTGCCAGAAGGAGGCCCACAGCGTGCACAGAGGACTTCAGGGCTGCTGTGGTTTTCCTTCCCAGGAGGCTCAGACCTTGGGGCACCAACAGGCAGTTACCTGTTGCCCTTTGGGGAGTCCCCACTCTTTAAGAGGCAGGGGCTGTGGTGACCTCTCTGGCTCATACCTCTGAACCAGGGGCCCTGAACCAGAGCAGGGCTGTGGAAGATGGTCCTCAGACACCCAGGCCACTGGGTTGCCTCACGTTTCTTTACAAAGAATCCACAGCCCTTAAGGCTTAAAACCAGCCCAACTAGCAAAGCCCCAAAGAGTCAGTTCTTCCAGCCACCAGTAGGGGGCAAGGTTCGACCTTCTTCCCTTCCTACTGAGGCCTCCTTTCCTAACCCAGAGCAGTCCCTCCCCTTACCTCAGTTCTGCAGTCTGAGGGGAAAGGAGTCTTCCTGGGGACCAACCAATACCAGGTCCTTGGTCACTGTGCCATTTGCTGCCCACAAGGGCATTATTAATTCAATTAACATTGAGATGCAGAGAGGTTAAGAACGTGTCCCACGTTGCAAGCAGAAAAGCAGATGCAGTAGAAATTGGATCTGGATCCTGTTCTAAAGCCCTTCTGGGTCCCTAGAGCCTGGAGAGGCCCAGACAGCCCAGCTACCAGCCTTCCACAGCCCCAGGGTCCTACAAGCCCAGAAAGGGGCAGGAGGTTTAAGGAAGCAGTAGCACCAGAGCAGAGGAGAGCCCCGCTCACCAGCTTCATGCTCAGACAGTTCTTCTCCCGGCTGTTGTAGCTGTCAATCTTCTGCTTGATCTCCTGCAGCAGGGGCGGCTGCTGTGTCTCCTCCACTGGCTTGCAGACATTCTGGAGCAGACAGGGAGGAAGGTAGTGTGGGGGGGTTCTCAGGACAAGATGGGGAAAGCCACACCTCCCAGAGGCTCTCTGGCTGAGAAGAAGTGAGCACCAGCCCCCAATGGCGACATGAATTGCATGGATCCTGGTTGAGAACAATAAGATGCCAGCCACCCCTGGGGAAGCAACTCAGATCTCTCTAAGCCTCGGTCTCCTCTTCTGTGAAATGGAAATAATACCTACCTCTCATGCTTGTTGCAAGACCAATGTGAGAAGTGTACCCCACCCCCACCTGGCTCCATGAACTGAGTGAATGCACAGCACCACACTGCTGAGAAGACCGCTATGGAGAAGATGCTCGTAGATGCTACGGTGGATGCAAAGCAACCCAAGCAGGCCATGGTCTTTCTCCCCAGGGAGGCAGCGATAAAGCTGGAGAGACAGGAGTGTACACGGGGTGCTGCAAAAGCTGGCGGGGGTAAGGATTCTCCTGGACCCAGGCACACTGGGCACATGGACCCCAGTCCAGGCCCACAAAACAACACAGTGCCTTGCATCTTCATCAAATGAATGAGAGACCGGGCAGGGAGGGGACCGTGGCCTTGGTCATAACTGAGGGGGAAAACCTCCTTTACCGGCCACAGGGACAGCCAGCACTTACCCCACCTCCTCTCCTAGCACTCGGTGTATGTGACCTCATTTACCTCTCACAAACCCCAGCTCTACAGGATGGCTTGTTACCCCCACTGTATAGGGCAGACTACTGCCAGCAGGGGCATTTACTGACTGGCCTGAGGCCCTGCAGTCAGCAGTGCAGAACTAACCAGCAGCCCCATCGCCTGTTCTGGGCACCACAACACAGATTTGTTCCTCTCCCCTCTCATCCCCGAGAGGGCAAGGGAACAACAGGGCTGAGATGGAGGCCATCATTTGAGGGAGCTCAGGAGAGAGGCCTGGGGATTCGGGGTCTAAGCAACTCCGTCCCCCAGGGCTTTCTCTGGATTCTTTTAAGTTCACTGCCACCCGCTTCCTGGAGGTACAGTAACTGGTGGCCCACCAGCTGTTGCCTTATTTTAGAAATCCAAGTAGACTAGGGCAGCAGGGGAGCCTGCCTGTGGCTGTCTGGGTTTGGCTGGGGGTTCGCCGGGCCCTGACATCACACCGCAGTGGGCACTGGCCACAGCACCGGCCGACCTCCCCGGCCAGCCAGGCCCGTGGGAGACAGCACTCCCACAGTTTGCTGTCACCGCCTCCTGTCCTTTCCAACCCACAGAGCGGATAAGATGAAATGCCAGGCCACCCAGCCAAGCAGGAAGGTGGGCGACACCCTCTTTCTGCACAGCATCCGTTCCCACCCATCTGCCCCCTCTGTGCTTTCTCCTGGCTCCTGGTGGTCCCAGCGCTGTGCTAGGCAGTGGCACAAGCCTTCTCTTATATGCTACCGACATTGTTCCTATCTTAGATTACAGAACTGAGGCCCTGCCCGTGGTGGTGCACACTTGCAATCCCAGCTACTCTGGAGGCTGAGGCAGGGGGGTCACAAGTTAGAGACCATCGTGGGCAACTTTAGTGAGATCCTGTCTCAAAATTAAAATATAAAAAGGGCCGGGGGTAAGAACTCAGTGCAAAGGACCTAGGCTCAATCCGTAGTCCAAAACCAAAACAAACCCAGGGCTCAGAGAGGTTAAGAATTGTGCCTGTGTCCTACTGCTAGTGACTGGAACCAAGTCCATCTCGGCCCACAACTCCAGTTCTTCTCCATTCGCCGCGTGGCTGCCCTCTTCTACGGACAGCCGGTGCACAGCTCCTTTAATGGTCACTGAAACTACGCTGCGGGGCTGCGATGAGCCCCCATCTGACCCGCGCAGTGCAGCCGAGCTGTGCACGCCCTCAGGGCCGGATGCACTGTGTTGCCTCTGGAGAGGAGTGGAGGAAGAGGCAGCTCCCCAGGTGCAGGGCCCACTCAGGCCTCTGGAACTGGGCCTGCTGGGGACTGGCCAGGGGAAGCAGTCGCTGAGAAGTGTCCTGTTTGCCCCAGGTGAATAAGCAGCCTGTGTCTCACAGGCTGTCTACATTCACTATCAGTCCACTCATGCAGGGACCCCTGTCTCTTGTTTGTCTTGGATCCTGCAGCTCCCCCTCGGTCCCCACCAGCTGGGCACATTTGTATGGCCCAGACATGCCTGCCTGTGGCCCTAGCCTGCCTTCCCTTTGGGGTCTTCCAGCCCAAGAGCTACTGTCTGGTTGCTGTGGTATATTCCATTCTGCCTGTCTCTGAGGCACACAGGCTGCTGCGCCTCAGAAGTTAAAAGCTTTCTCATAGTTATCACAAAAAAAAGTGTTAAGCAAGCCAGGCTTGGTGGTGCGTACCTGTAATCCTGGCACTCTGGGAGGCTGAGGCAGGATGATATCTTTTGCAACTTAGTGACATAGTGAGACCTTGTCTCAAAATTTTGAAAGGGCTGGGGATGTAGCTCAATGTGAAGGCCCTGGTTTCAATGCCCAATACTGAAAACAGAAAAAAAAAGTGATAGAAGGCTCTAGAAGCCCCTGGAAGATCTCTCAGTTCCCTGTAAGAAAAGGCAGCTGTGTCTTAGCTTTCAAATGTCAGTCTCCGAGTCCTGGTTTGGAATAGAGCAATTGTCAGAGCCCAAGGTTCCCCCTTCCTGTTCCCTTTTCTTCATCAGATATACCCATCTGGTCTCCCCCTTTCACACCACAACCTGAGAAGTGACGCAAGTGGCACCCCCACCTTCCAGGGCAGAGGCAAGAGACTGCAGGCTGGCCTCCCCACTCGAGGTCTGGCCCTGGGATCGGGAGGGCAGGCTCCGCCACTCAGAGTGCCAGGCACCCATGTGTAGCTGGTGCTCAAACCTCATGCCTGTGGAATGTCAGTGCCCGCCTGGGCTGGCTGCTGCCCATGTGGTATCAGCCAGACAAGATCTGACCCTCGGAGTGAGTGAATCACCTCCCAAGTGGGCCAGCCAAGGAGCCTGTGGGCCAATGCCTCACCAGGCCTCATGCCGTCCAAGAAATGGCACAGTGTCCAGACCAGTGGTTTCCGAACTTGCCTGTGCGATGGAGTCATCTGGGATCTCCGGAAGCTCGGCTGCCCGGGCTTTTCCCACCAGAGAGCTGTGATTTAATTAGTCTGAGATTCAGCCTGGGCCCAGAGACTTAGAAAGCTCCTGGGCAATTCCACTGTGCTCCAGCATTTGAAAAGTGTGATAGACACCCCTGGCCAGTGGTTCTATCCAGCTGCAGAGTTATCACTTCAGAGCCAACGGATACACGCTGCCCCAGAGCTTTACCTGAAAGGCATTGTCCACTGTGCACAAGATCAATGACCCAGTGATCTTCCTGGGGCAGAGCAAAGACCCCGATTTCTATTCACCTCGTAGGTTCTCAAGTCCTCAAAGTGAAAGGTCTATCTCTCTGTTCATGGCACCAAGCTAGATACTACACACATAGCATTTCCTCTCTTGGGGTGGCCCAAGATAGTGACAAAACGGGGAACTCTGTTATGACTTAAGAGATCTTGGCCCTGGCCTGTGCAGTGTCTCTCTCAGGGGTTTATACATCTCAGTGCACCTGGCACAGAATTCATCTGCTCTGATTAAGCCCCTGGCATCAGTGGCAGATGGCTGAGCTGTTCCTGGTGCACCCAGCACTGATAAAAAGAAATTGGTTTGTCACGTGCCCCAGCCATGGAAAGGACTTGTGACCACTCTTAGGTTTCAAGATTACTGGGGTACAGCCAAGTGAAGAGGTACTAGGGTAAAAGCAAAGGTCTCTCTTTCTCTCTCTCTCTCTCTCTCTCTCTCTCTCTCT